TATCCAATGCTTAAACGGTTAAATATAGCCGTACCTGTATTTCTATTTCACCTGTAACTGTCACTAATATTAATTGTAAAATAAAAGTATATTTATTTCCCTCCTTATAAAATAAAAAGTAATGTTTTAACTTTGCTGTTAAAAATATCCCTTGTTACTAATTAGTTGATATGGGCATTGTTTCCTAAAGTTATAAGACTAACTAAAATAACTTTCATTGTCTGTTTAAGTGTTCTTAAAGGCAGTAAGAGTTAAACTAACATTCAGTACAAAAGCAGAATTATAATTGTGTTATTTTGAACTAATTTTAAATTTAACTTTGAACGACTTATGTCTAAATGTTTTGATGTAATTTTATTTAAATGGTCGCTAGACTCATTTTATTTTATACAGTATATTCGAGATTGAATTACAAAATGAAGGGCATTCATAATAATTATATAAGTGAATTTAAATCTTTTCCAAAAGAGTTCTTTCATTACACTTAAAATGATAAATTTTATTTTATTTTCTTTCTTCAGGAGGATTATCCTCATGTATTAGATCTTTCAATTGAATTGAGGCAAAAATACCAAATAATGGTCTTTTATATTTCTGATAATAATAATAAAAAATGGTTTATAAGAAAATTGATAAATATTCTTAGGCGGTCAATACGATGCATTTTTTTTATATCATAAGCCGGTAAACGAGCACACGGATCACCTGATGGTAAGCAATCGGCGTCGCCCATGGACACCTGGAACACCAGAGGCGTTATAGGTGCGTTACCGGCCAGGGGAGGGTAATTGGGCCTCCGAATAAAATTAAACAAAGTTTTGAACACATTTTCTTTCCTCTCGTCTATCTCATGTGAACAGTTAAATTAAAAAAGGATAGAAATACATTTTAGCTTAACATGCGGAGTCATTACGAAAATGTTTGACTTTTTAACGAGCTTCCCAAATGAGGTTTTTGAAACTAACGTGGAGTCAAGTAGATAAGCGTTTGTAACACAAATAGGTTTCAAAAACACACTACGTTCTGCATCTACATGTTTGGCAAATAAGTTTTTAACTTTAATATAGGTACACTTCATAAAAATTTATTAAACGTATTCTAATATAAAATTGTATGACTAGGGCACGGACCAAGAGTCCGTGGAGAATTAATCTGTAACATTAAAAAAAAACTTAATGTACTTTATTTAATGGCAATTATTTATTAATATTTAGTTTGAATTAGTGTTCATTTTGACCTCTGATATTGATATTATATATAACTAGGATATTTTTACACAACAGTCGTAATGGAAGCTACCGTATTTTTAGTCACTAAATGGCGCAAATGTACGAAGACATTTTTAGTCCAATAACTGCAGCTGTCAAATATTGAACGTCTAATGGTGGGACATTAGCTAATTCCCTACTGGACGAAGAACGAGAGGTTCACATTAGTGCCATCTGGTGAGAAAAAATACGGTAGGCCCACAATTGTAGTCACCCGCCCAATAAGAAAGTTAATGAAATGAATACTTTCCACTTTATATTCATCTTTAAGTGTAATGTGTTCATGTTGCATTGAACCAGCACAGCTCCAACCCAGCAATGAACGTGTCATTTAAATTTGAACATAAAATCTTGCGTCATATGACATCTTTCAGAATGTCAATGTAAAAAAGCTGTAACTATTATAATAACAACCTATTTGGATTGTTTCCAAACCAAAAAAACTCCAGAGCCGTGCCGTGTGTGTCCGTGCCGTTACTGTTTGCGATGTCTCTTACTTACTGCTTCCAAGTAATAACAGACGTACCTAAGACTTCACTAAAACTATATTATACAAATATTGTACATCTGTCTAGACAAGGTAGTTAACTTTACGCTGAAATACTCAAACTTAATTTTAAGTCGCGCTTAAATATGGTTCTGACGCTACGAATTCTATGTAAATTAACAGAGATTGCACGATATTTAAGTACAATTCAAAATTGAGTAGCGTTCCAGTATGCAGGCGTCAGAGACCTGATGAGGATTAAAGGAAAAGGGTCACAGAAATAACAATAATATGGAAAAAATATAAATCTATGTAATTAAAAAAATATTGAACATAACAATACTTTTTCCTTTCTAATAAAAATATAATTCACGTACTAATTTGACGAGGAACTCGACTAGTTCTCACTAGCGACATGTCGCGACAGTCGCCGCGTCGCGGGTCGCGAAATGCTGCTCATGATTATGAGCCTCTAGCATGGCTTGAAACTAGTCGAGTTCCTCGTCAAATTAGTACGTGAGTAAGCCGAAAACATAATAATTTGTTTAGTATGTCTCACGAAAGTTACAATACAAAATTTAATTCATTGATGTTTAGATCACTTTGGCACAAAAACAAATTTGGTTACATTGTATAGCTCTAATAAGGTACTTAATATTAAAAAAACAATTTAAAACTCAAGTTTTAAGTACAATATATGTTTCATCATTTAGATAATACATCACATGCGACTTGTGAACATTGAAAAAGATATGAACTCAAACTTATTGGAACTAATAACTGAAATCTTCGATGACACTTGGTTCAATGGGACCTACCTCTTTTTCTCACCAGGTGGAGCTAGTATAACCTCTCGTCTTTTCATTCAATGGGGAATTAAGTAATGTCATACCATTGGTCATTAAATTTTTGACAACTATAGTAATTGGGTAAAAAAACCTCTTCCTAAATTGAGGTGATTTGGGTTTGAAAAACGGTAGTTCAGTTCCCCAATCAGAGAAAAGTTCACAGTATACTGCTAAAAGTCTAACAGGGTTTTCTATAATTTCCACAACGGGAGTAAAAAAGGTTTCCTCCATCGTTGGTCGGTGGTGTCAAAATAGACCTAGAAAGTACATAAAACTCGGATAAAGTCACAATGGTGCTTGCCGTTCGAACCCACACCCTCATGCATGATAATTGATGGGCTTTGAAAGTTACATATAACATTCATATTAATATGTTTGCAACTGGCAGACGCCAACATCAATAAATCTTTTAATATCCACGCCTTACTATCTAGAGTATTCCTTTCATAAAATATTTTATATATTGAAATACTTCGTTTTGCAATACAAAATCACGAATGCTTCACAAGACTAAGTACCACTTAAACCTCGCTATATAATAGTCTTCTATTATCTGAAGTGTTTTACAAAGGAAAAACTATAAATTAACTCGGATTTTATACTTCGCTTATAAAAGGTGTTGGAAAATAAGTATGAACTGGAATTGTTGTACTATTTTGGTATAATGTTTCAATTAAATAATAAGATTAAAAAATTATTATTAAAAAAACAAAATACCCGACTGCACACTAAAAAAAGAGTAAAACAAGCCCCACAATAATATTGATCAATCAAATGCTAAAAACTAATTATGTAATACCGTTTAAACAATACCTATATTAAAATACACTACAATATGTGTTCGTAATCGATAGTTAAATAAACAGAAACTTATTTTGAATACAAATTTACTGAATATAATTTATAAATGTTGATGGAAAGCATCGCAGGCGGGGACCAACAGAGGCTTATTTATAGTCATTTCGGTTGTGCACCATTTAGCAGAATTTTCGTTGGTGGCGGTCAAGGTGGTCCCCGCCTGCGATGCTTTCCATCAACATTTATAAATTATATTCAGTAAATTTGTATTCAAAATAAGTTTCTGTTTATTTAACTATCGATTACGAACACATATTGTAGTGTATTTTAATATAGGTATTGTTTAAACGGTATTACATAATTAGTTTTTAGCATTTGATTGATCAATATTATTGTGGGGCTTGTTTTACTCTTTTTTTAGTGGCAGTCGGGTATTTTGTTTTTTTAATAATAATTTTTTTATTTATAACTTTTTAGCTGTTTTTATTTAACGAAAATGTTGTAGATGTAGAAGACTATCGTCAACGACGTGTGCCCTCATGCGTGTGCCCGCAATCGGGCTGTATACTCGAGCATATCCCCCTCCGCACCGCGCCGCGCGCCGCATGCCAGGCCACGCCCTATCTTTTTGCTTGCTAACGCATGAGTTGCTTTGCGTTGACGCAGAATTAACATGTTCCCGTGGGAATTTTGAGAAAAAACGTATCCTATATTAATTACTCCCGTGATTGAAATGAATCTAATGATACCGCATACATATTTTTTTAAAGGGAAATTTAGAAAAAATATTATTATGTCTTTATCCCGTGGGACTTTTAGGATAAAATGTATCCTATGACACTCCCGTAATCAAGACAAATCTAACGATACCTCATACATCAAAATCCATCAAGCCGTTTAGGCTACAGGTGGTCACAAAGGAAAAGACATACATACATACTTACATACACTCGAAAAACATTACCCTCCTTCTTTGGCAGTCGGGTAAAAAACCTATTACATACTACTTATAAGGATTATAAACTATCCAGATATAGATAGTTGTTTAAAATACAAGCTACCTACAAACTGAAATGTTGGTGTGTTACATTTTCGAGAATGGGTCATATTCAAATTCAATTACATTAAGTATTTAGGTAGGTATCACAAATGAGTCAAAAAGAGACACAGCTATCTTCTTAACACCTGAACTTAAAGTCTAACACTTAAATTATTATTCACAAATATCTTCCTCTAGCTACGCAAAGAGGATGTGCCAGCATTTTTCAAAAATAAGTAACATGTGAGCTCTATTAGCGTCGCCCATGTACACCTGGAACACCAGAGGCGTTACGTTTTGAGGATTAGGTGTTTGAGGATCGTTGAGAATTCAGGAACCGTTTGATATTCATGGTGTTAATTGTAAAAAAGTTAGATTATAATATTGTACATATGGTCATCAAGGCTCTAAGAGCGTGTACTAAATATCAGATCGAATTGCCGTCAGGGGCCTTCAATTACTTTTGTCCCAAATAAAAAGCAAACGGAGCAAGCTAAATGAAACTGTTTCAATATCACTTTTTCTTTACTAGATCATTTTCAATTTGTTCTGAACTCTTTCCTTTGGTTTCTGGCAAGAATATAACACTGACGATAAGTCCAACGAGGTTTAGTCCAGCATAGATGTAGATCACAGAGTATGTTCCCAAAAAGTCCGCTATGGCTGTAAAGGAGAGAAGCTCGACGAAGGACATGAACCACGCATGTGTGACGAGACCACCCATAACCTTTGCTCGTATCTGAAATGAAAAGAAGAAAATGATTAGAATAAACAATTTTTTTATTCATCATCGGATTACTTAACTTTAGTATTGTATTGAGTAAGCCGAAAGTGTGTGTAGAAATTTTCAGATATTTTTGTATGGAAAGTGTAAGAACTATTGCTAAGGTATAACACTTAATGCTTTTCATGTTTCCACCTATTAGGTGATTGCCTTTTAGCACGTACATAGGTCCACCTCTGCTTACTACTTTTATACAGTAACAAAACTTAGAAATAGAATTACTTAAACATTACGCAGTAAATAAATAAACAAATTTTCTTAATATGTGTACTAACAAATTATTTTCATTAATTTTACTCTGAATTTCTTAGTACGTCTGAACACCTAGACATTACCTTAATGAAAAGTTAAACGTTTTGTTAATATATTTACGTTTCATATGCTAGAACTGCGTGTACCGCCTAAATTATGACGAGAATTTGCTTCAAAATGTTTGCGTTATGAACTGAAGCGTCTATTGTGTATATAATGTATATTACAAGATCATTAGATGTATTTATTTTTATTTATTTACACTTTTTGTACAATGGGTATACAATAGTGTACTTAATGCCTAGTGGCATTATTTAACGGTCTACCTTAGGGTGATGCAGAGATACACAATAGTAGGTGTAATAGTTTAACATTGTTGTGAGTTTTTGAACTTAATTTCATATGTACGTATCACACAATATATACTTATTAAATATTATGCAGAAGTACTTTTATGTTAATGTCGAAAAACTGCACGGTTGGTGCGGTGGCTGGGCAACTGGCTGCCGCACGGAACAACTCTTTGAACAATCCACAGATTGTTGTTCTGGATCAGGGTGTCATGTGTATATGTATGTTTGTAAACGCACCCACGACACAGGAGATAATCCTAGTGTAAGGCAACGTTTATTACAAAACGGCAATTCATTTTGTTTTAGTTCAATTTTCTTTTCAGTGATAATTTCGCATATCAAGGGTGGTATGTACTCTAACTTTACCATATCTACAATATTTAGGTACCTAAAGATGAAGTTTAGTTTCGATTCGTGTATTGTTTAAATAAGAAAAATCAGTTTATTTTTTAATACTAACAAAGTCGAATGGACATGCTAAGTGTCAGCACTTAGCATGAACGGGTGCCTCACCCAAGGCGAGAGAATTTATTTGATGACTTTTCCCCTCAAAAAAGTCACTACCACCCAAAATATGACTATAGAATACTCATCAGATTGTTCCGTATGCCCAGACATACATATAATTATAGTATACACATACACAATTAATGACTTCGAGCGACCACACCGCACAGACATGGTTATAATTTACTCAAGGCATCTAATTTGTTGGCATAGTCCTCGCTTACGATTTGATTGACCTTAATCGACTAGTCCAAATAGACGGTCAAAGTAATGACGCTCAAGGGAACGAAGTATCAAGGTATGTTTTGATTGAGGTGTGGTATTCATGTCATCAAATGTCCATGTGGATATAGAACTGAATTGTGAAGTTGTTACTGTGTCTATATAGTATGTATTTTAAGCTCTTGGTGGACGATTCAAAGAATTGAGTTTGTTTAATGAAAGTTACTCAATATTTTACAGCGATTTAACAACACTAAAGTTTGCCATCTATTTGCTTGGGACTACATTTAGTTTTTGCCAATTACCTCTTAATTTAATATAAACTAGCGACGCTCCCGGGCTTCGCACGGGTTCAAAATGCTTGTATTACAACATATAAACTTTCCTTAAAAATCACTCTATCTATTTAAAAAAAACCGCATTAAAATCCATTGCGTAGATTTAAAGATCTAAGCATACATAGGGACAGACAGATGGTGGATAGCGACTTTGTTTTATAATAAATAAATAAATAAGAGGCGCTGCTAGTTTTATCACTAAATACTGGACACTATTTCAGACCTATCGCAAATTTTGTGATTTTTTAAGCCCTAGATCCGGATTTTGAACCCATCCAATCGTCCATCAAGGCAAAGTATTGCTCTAAATATATGGCACGGGTAATAAAACAACGCTTTTATGTTATCACGATACGCAACCAAAACCCTTTTGTGTGCTAAAAACATTAAAACCGACGAATATTGATGGTCCTTTCAAAGTTAACCTACAGTTTGGAAAGCTATTAGCTTCGATATATTAATATATGTAGGAATTTCAGAATAAAATGTACAGTTGTTTGTTGTTAGAAGTATGTTTAAAATTGCACTGTCGCCAATTATGATTTTTCGATTATTGCATTATTCTTCAAAGAATTAGATTAAGATGTAACATAAAACATGACGTGAGAACACGAATATGCAGATTTTTATGTACACACATACAACATAAAGGACTACACATATATAAAATTAAAGTACAAAAGTACCACTTATTCCAATTGGAATTTCTTCCTATGGACCTGAGGCAGGAAAGTAATAATAATATAATGACACACACAAATAGAAAATTGGGATAGGAAACAGACTTAAAACTAAACAAAAAAAACCAAACAAATACATACAAAATATAAACTATACATCTGAATGAAGAAATTTACATATCAGGAGGAACGGTAGTGTTCTCTCACTCCTTTATTTTCACTTGATGCCGAAAAAGAAACATTTGTTGACTTTTGATTGAAATGTGGCATTGAAACTTGATAGATACCCCATTAGTTGCGAGTAAGGTAATATCGTGTTACCAAAGTTCATTGTTTCTAAAATCTTGAAAATCTTGATGGAAAAACAGGAAAATATATCTCCTATTCGACTCAAGACAGTACAAGGGCAACTTTGAACCTTATTTAGTAGTACTTAATAATTTTCTGACTCGAAAATGGTAGTAATCGGACTTGGCGGCAGGTCTTTACAGAGTAGTGAAATAGAGCGCTCTTATCAACTAATTTTGATTGATGAATTGCATGTTACTATAGTACTAATCTATTTTAAAAAGTATGACAATCATATGTGAGCCACAAAATACGCAAAAATTACAGATAGTCCAATAGTAATAAGAACTACCACATTAAAGCAAGAAGCCACATAAAATCGAAATCTAAAGAGTCATTACACGCCCTAGCCATAATTTCCGACCAATCTTTTACTACGTGAGACCCAAAATTCTAGAAAGTAGGAAAAGCATTTAGAGTTCCGCGTCGTGTAGCGTGCCGCCATTTTAGGGAGATAGAAAAACCATTCCAACTAGCGTAGTTCTAAATTCAAATTCCCGGGAGTAGACATGTAAATCGCCTAGAACTCTGCCGTGAGTTTGTGGAATCTAATTAGGCGGGAACTTTGGTGTGCCCGATTATATCTATGCGTTAGGTATTGTTTAGACCTGCTGGTATTGTTTACTGCATTCTATTGTATTCTAGTATTGTTTATTTTATTTGTGTTATAACCTTCATGAGTCGTACTAAATTAATTATTGTTATTTTCGGCAACTACCCACGTAACTGTTTGAAGAGCAGTTTTATGAACAGCTTTCCGCGACAATTGCCACGGCGTATGTTACGTAATTAAGCCAAAAAATATAACAATTAGTGTATTAATTTGGTATTTATTAAGTTAAACAAGTATTTTTAACAGAGGCACTTGAACCATTTTTTAATAATTATACCAATCACTACTAATGCACATAGTATTAATTTTCTGCATGTAGCAAATCGTTAATTGAAATAACTACTCATAATAAAAAGGAAATACCCAACAATACAATAGTTAATTGATCCAGCCGTTATAAGCTCCAATTATAAGTTGTATCACTGGAATTTGTTTTTATACACCTACGCTTTAACTAAAACCGACCGCCAAGTTACGTGATACCTCGAAAATCGATGTCGATTTAATATTTACAGGCATACAAAACATTTCGGCTTTCTTTTCGTACAATTCTCATGTGACAGGGTCTAATTACATTTCGATGAGTCAGCTTAAAATATAGAAAAACAATTCGTATTTGTTACAACGCAATGTACAGATTGGTATGAGAAATTCGATTGACTATTAGACAAGTGTTACTAAAGATTTTTTGATGATAATAGTTTGTATTAATCTGTATTTCTGATGTTATATTATAATATTTTTGTGTCACTTGTGTTGTGCCTAATTTGGAATGATTACATGATGGTAATTGTTTTTTTATTTATACTAGTAATACATATAATGATGATTATATTTGATGCTACTAGCTTCTGCCCGCGACTTTGTACGCGCAATCCCGTTTTCTCCTGTATGTGTTAATAACAAATACAACAAAAACAGAATGAGTGAAATCGGTCTAACCACTCACGCGTGATGCCGTGACGACGGGAAAAAGGCATTCATTTATATATAGATTTGCGATTAATATATCTTAATTTCATAAAATTATAGAAATGTTAACTAGATTACATAAGAAGAAGACAATGTATTCAATTAATTCAATGAGCATAGTTTTGCATGCCGTAAGGCAAAATACGGTATATTTTGCCTTACGGCTCTCGGACTCCCGGGATTCCCCGTCAAATGTTTATGTGAGTAAGGCGAAAAACATAATAATTAATAAAGTATGTCTCACGAAAGTTAGTTTAAGTGTGGGAGAGCCATGCTTCGGCACTAATGGGCCGGCTCGACTGGAGTGATACCACGACCTCAAAGAAAACCGACGTGAAGCATCGCTCGCGTTGTGTTTCGTCGTGTGAGTGAGGTTACCGGAGGCCCAATTACCCTCCCCTTCCCCAATGCCCCAATTCCTGAATCCCCAAAGATCCTAAAACTCCTAATCCCCAAAAGGCCGGTAACGCACTTGTAACGCCTTTGGTGTTCCAGGTGTCCATGGGCGGTGACGATTGCTTACCATCAGGTGATCCGTCTGCTCGTTTACCGGCTTAGGCCATAAAAAAAAACAATATAATTTATAATATTTTGAACTTTTTCTATTGAACTCAATTCGCTAGAAGTCATTGCCAACTAGTTCAAGGGACTTAAAACATCATTCAAAATTAATAAATAAAAATATATTTAGTGCTTTAGGTAACAAGAGATTGACATACAAAAGCGAAAAGTAAATTGCAAGGCATATTATTTAGTTTTTGATATTTTAAGCTACGCTATGTTTCAGCTGACATGGCTATAATTGAACAAGAGTAACGAGAAAAAATGAGTGACATACAATATTTTGGATTTTTCAGTTAAAACAGAAACTAAAATCTATTATTGCTATTCTTATTGTTGATTTCAATAAAAGCATTCAAGCAAATTAATTGGATTTTATAGGCATTTTCTTTGAAGAAAACTTAAAGACGTCACGTATGGTCAATGCATTGCATAATAGACATCCTATTATACAAAAAAAAAATATTTCATAATTATATTATTGTCTAGTATTATCATATACTTATTTTTTGTATGATTTAAAGTGAAATTTTAATATATGCAAAGTGCAGTGATTTCACAGTTCGTATAATTATCATATATCTATGAATTCTGATCATTATGATACATATTTTTGTAAACGGTGAGTATTTTGTTACGAAAGGTCAACAAAAGAATAACCCTTACAACTTTTAATAGTATTCGAACGGAAGTATAAAGGGGAAGACCTATTTTTAGTAAAAATTTAAATATCTATTCACAAAATCACAGTGAGCCTTACAAACTTATTCAGGCCGTGAAAAATGTGATATCGACGGTTGAATCTCCGTTTCGTTATAAATAACAGTGAAGAACAGGCGTAACAAAAAATGTGTTTTCGCACGCTCTAGGGAAACACGGCTGAAATAACCTTAAAACGATAAACAAAAAAATCTTTTAAATCACCGTTTTATCTACGATCTAGGTTTGAAAGGTTTTTGAGTGCTTTTATACCTGTAAGACGTTTAAGCTATGAATAATTCTAAACAGATAATGGCTTCGTAAATTACAAGCGAAATTTTCAAACAAGCCCAAAAGAAAAGTACATAAATCAAAGCCTCCAATTAAGGGAATATACGAAACGGGGAGACGCTACCGTTCCAAAAATGCTTTTTATAAAATACACCAAACAATTATCGTGCCTTGAATTGAACTCAAATAGGGGCAAACTAAGGAGATTTCGTGCCTGTATTTCGTCCTAAAAGCCCACCTGGTAAATAGGTGACCACCCCTTATCTTTAGAATTGGAACGTACCAGACAATGGTATTGCGTTCCAACCTCAGAGACAAAGCTGAAATGTTTCATGTGCCTGTTAGGTAAGAACCAAATTCAATGTCGTTCAGTCTCAAGGTTTTCTCCAAGGCCACGTTTTAATTGGTTTCACGCCTTACGTATATGGAAAGTGTTCGTGAATAATCATAGATAGCTACATTATCAAACATTAACTCGTGTTTCAATAGATCTTATCAAAACACGAGAAATCAATCAAAAGCCCACGTGGTAGCACGAAAATTGTCCTTTCAAACAAACAATTGTCGGAATTTGGGCATAAATAAATTAGTTTCATCATCTAAAGGCTTTGTTCGTGGTTAGATGTTCGGTATTCCTGTAAATCTGCCTAAACACAGTAAGAACCTGCATAAGTAATTCTCGAAATGATCCTGAAACAAGACTACCTGAGGTCTACGGGTCGGGTTGACAGTTTCGAATTACAAATATGGACTTTTGAGACCCCTTATATGTTTGTTGTGATTGTCTTGCGGTTTTTAGTTAGAATTAGCTAACCCATTTTGGGTAGAGGTCATTAGAGATCATGAAATATAAATACTATTTTGATACGGTATCCTTATGTATTCTAGGAATGGTCGACGAGATTTTATATTTGTGAGGTTCGAATATATTTAGAATAGTAAAAGTACGTGATTGTTTAATTTTGGAGTGGGTGGACTTTTTGTAAACCTTTGCAGTGAAATATTTAGTTTCTCGGGTCGGCTAAAATTTCATTGGGTTTCCGATAATCCAATTGAACATCCAGCATGCGTGATAATCTTAATATATATATAAATCTCGTGTCACAATGTCCTCAATGGACTCCTAAACCACTTAACCGATTATAATAAAATTCGCGCACCATGTGTAGTTCGATCCAACTTGAGAGGCAGGATAGTTTAAATCTCAAATTATAGTCGCAATTTTAATTTATTGCTAATTATTTGTCTGTTATTATTTGACAGTCACAATTATCTGTTAACTCCAAATGATTCTAACAGATCTTACTCAACCCAGTCAAAAGGTATCGACCTTTTGACTGGGTTGAGTAAGTAATCAATAGATGGCGCAGCTATGGGTTTTTTTAATAGAAGGAGTGATTCTTAAGGAAGGTTTATATGTATAATGCATGCATATTGCACTCGTGCGAAGCCGGGGCGGGTCGCTAGTATTTTAACATAAATATTAATAATAATAGTTATTACAATAATACTTACTTGAAAATTAAACATCTCGGTCATAATGATGTACGGCATTGGCGAAATCCCGCCAGCGTAGACGGCGAAAAATGTTACGATTGCTATCACTGGCAACCACCCTGGTGTAGAACTTCCTTGGTGCTGAACCAGCATTGTCGTAGCCAGGATTATGTGCGACACGACAGCCACTGCAAACGATATGATGATGAGAGGCTGAAAACAAAAAAAAAAGAAATCATAAACCAAAATAAAACCTCTAAATTATAAATACTATCGAAAATTAAAAGAATATAGTAGGTACTTAAAATTCTAAATCAAGTTAATTTATTTTATCTTTAAATATGACAATGTTATTATGTATATATATAGCACGACATATTGATGTCAAACAAATCGAACATACTTATCAACTCAATTTAATATTTACTATATTTACTGTAGAATAATACTTATTCCCATTTCTACGAATTTGCAAATATAATAAAACAAAACGATGTCACAGAGTTTCCATTATAGAGGTAAACGAGACAGGAAAGTCCACTTTGTTCAGTAATTACCGACTTTTCTATATAAACTTCTGATATGCACCTTTCTAAGAAATTCCAAGTTGAGACCTTTGAAATATTTATTGGGAGAGATATTTTCTTTCCTTTACTTAAAGTTAGCAATAACTTTTTAATGTTTTGGTAAGTTTGATAACCAAGTATTTTCTTTGACCAGTCTGTTCGGTTCATGAATTTTTTTTAGTTTTCCTAGTTCAATAATGTTTTCATCCGATTTATTTTGTGTGTAGTTTTCCTTGTCATGTAAGGGTTTTTGAATTTGAACCTTACTTATTTCTTGTAATAGTTGTAATTCGCTTGTTGCTGATAGATCAGATATACAAGAGATTATATAATGAATACAACTTACAGTACAGACTGCCTCGTTGGCCGAGTGATCGTAATTGCGACTGCCGGGCAAGGGGTCTCGGGTTCGATTCCCGGGTCGGGCAAAGTATTTAAAAAAAAACTCTCAGTAGTAGCACGGAGCCTGGAATTGTGCCCGGTATATGGCAATAGGCTCACCCCCTATTACATGGGACTCATGACATAAATATTGAAAAGTGGGTGTTTCATTGTACAGCGGTATAATGTGCACGTCTGTCTACCCCTTCGAGGATAAAAGGCGTGATGTTATGTTATGTTAACTTACAGTATTCTACATAATTATGAATTTTAAAATTAAACTAATGTTACAGTGATCATTTGTAAAATACCTAAAGTAGTGTCTACAGCTCATAATTAAGATTTTTAATTTCTAATTCTATGCTTTAAATAACTACAGAGATAATAATTCTTAACATAAGAAAACCACCTTAAAATAACATTAATTATAAAAATCTTTCTCTAAGACGGACTACTATTTTCCTAGATTATTATCTTTTAATGAAAGCACACCGCGTAAAACAAAAAATCTCAAACTAATTATAGAAACGAGATTTGTTGGTCCTAAGATATAAACTAATAAAAGATGGAAGATGAACTGGTACTGGTACAGTTAGTAAGACACAAAATGAAGTTGTCGCTGAGTCCGTAAAGAATTTAATCAAAGCAACAGATGCAAAAAATGACGAGGTTCGTCCAAGAGAGAGGAAATAAGAAATCAAAGAGATCACGGTATTACAGAAAGGACAGATATAAAAAATGTTTAATAATAAATCAAATTACGAAGCGGATGAGCAACAAATTGGTAATAACTGCAAAATGTGACAATGCATTGCTTTGGAATTGCTGCACAATTTATTGAAATTTGTGTTAATTTATATTGACTTGCGGAAAAATTTTGCAACAGAATTTTCGGGACATCAACATTGGCGATCATTAACATTAATAATATGTGATAGTCCGTTGCTAAAGTATAGGTCTATCTCTATCTTAAAGGGCGTTGCTAAAATCTCCACAGACACAGACGGGTTCAAAAGGGTCAGATTTATCAAAGAGCTCTGCAGCTCTGTTTGTCTCAATTGTGTAGCCCCTAAGTCGCCTCTTACGAGTACAACACCTAAAAGAAGAGTAGGAGGGGTGAAAATGTATACTACTGGCGTCATCACACGACTTCAAGAACTAACAAAGTACAAAAGTGATTTCATTTTAGCTAGAAACAAACTGGTCTGGTTTAAAGGTTACAAAAATGGCATCGTCTACTTTGTCCTACCAGCTTGTATCAACTGAGAAAAGCTTGTCTGTCGTATTGGCAATGAGCCAGATATCCCACACTTTCACGTCGTTCGTCTTTTGAACCCAAAATGTTATTTTTACACCGATTCACAAAGTCGATACGGGGAAAAGGGGATATACCGTACCAGACTTGATCTAAATTCAATTGTTAATATGAAGTTATAGAGTCAAAGGCTGGAATCTATTCATCTCAATATTTTAAACGAAAAAGTTTGGTTATAATTTTTGTCGATGTTTGATTTTTTTTTTACCAAGTGACACTATATCAAATTTCTTGAGTAGGTATGTGAAGCAAGTAAAAATATAGATTACTTAGATTATTATACTCCAAATAGTAAGTCAAAAATCGTTGGCAGTACCTACCTAACTATAAAACAAAAACATATCAATGATAATTAAATTACACATGACTCACATAGCAACTCGTGCCTTATAAATCCGTTGATAAAAGATTGAATTGAATGTCAAAGAAATTTGAACTAAAGATGTTAAATTGAAACCCTATTTAAGTGAATATTGCAATCCTAAACTAATATTAGCTTCAGTGATACGTAGCGTAAGATCAATGCATACAATCATTGGTCCAGAAACTTAATAACCACAGAGTAAATGTCATTTCTAAAATGACAGGAAAATATATCGTTCGAATTCTCAAAAAAGAAATAGGGTTCGTATCTTGTGATGAGAAGAACCATTCTATTTTGAATAGTACTTTAGAGAGGTCTATATCGAAAGTTCAAGGGGCAATAACGATCACGAACCTCTGTATTGTTGATAGGAGTGAATGAGAATGAAAGTCACTCATGAATAAATGACACGTCAATTGCCATATCTAATTATTATATGAACATTGGACATTATAACCTAAAAAGTAATTACTGACCACCTTTTTTGAGGGGGAAATGTTTTCTCTAGCCATGGGTGAAGCGAAACAGTTTCCGACTCTTACCGACTAATAACCATCCCGTTTCTACTTCTGCTCTCCGACAATCTATTTAGAATAAACACCATTGGAAACTGCTAACTTTATTGCGACAATTGTAGAAAACAGAATTCCATGATCACCAATATGCGTAAATTATTATGTAAATTCAAATAATACGTGTAGCCAGAAATTATTATGTAAATTCAAATAATACGTATAGGTATAGCACTGAATATGCTTCGTCAGACGTATTTATTAGGCAGATTAACAAATTCTCAATAATAGCAGCACGGTCTAAAGTACTTTGTATTTGGAAATGTAATCACTTTCTTTTACATGGAACTAACATGTAGTTTTATGATGTGGATAAAGTAAGACTTTTTTAATCAACTAACTTGTTGACGCAATTCATTTCAAAAAATCCATCCATCCATCCATCCAATCCATTTAAAAAAAGTTAAAGGAAAAAAACGCTTCATATTCTCATAATACCAATCATTATGAACCACCAATAAGTCGACAAACTTTTAGCTTAAAAAATATCATATAAATATATTCCTTATTTCGTATTCGTAAACCTTGGTGTTTACGAACTAAAGCTACACGAAATAAGGCTAATATCCCAAGCGGACTAATGGAGAGAGCTGTGGTATTACCGAAATTAAACTTTTGAATGAGAATTTAATATTATCAACGTGAATTAGGAATTAACACCGGACCGCAATGGTTGTTGACTAAAAAGGTTTTTTGGGTTGTGAACTAATACTCACTCCAACAATGTATTTACTTTTAAAATTTTAATTGCCAACACTTAGTGGTCTAAACACATATTATTTTTAATCACTAACTACTAATAATGCTTTAAACTTGACCCAGACTATTTATTACACAGTGCTGGACACATAAGGCGGGAAACACATAAAGCGATGATACTATAAAACTCATTAAAAACATTTTAATATTTATTATTCCTATCGACTTCTAAGCAATTAAAAACAAATTGTGTCAACCACAAAATCAGCTTAGAAAACGTTTAAATTCTATTTAATTGTCCATTATTTAAACCTACCACAGATATACAGACTTTTAGAGCTCAAAAGAATTTCCCGAGCAAAGCTGTAAAAATAAAAACCCTACAAATCAGAGCTCAACGAAATCCCCCGCAAGAGAAAAAACAAACGTCCAAATAAAACGCAAAGTAAAGTAAAGGGAAGATTTCTGTTCTAATCCGATCAGAAATAGAGATTAGTCTCGTACAAACACATTTATCAAAATTACTTTGGAACACTTCTTACCTTCCGACCGAACTTTTCCACACAACTCATTGAGATAAACGAGGCAAGGATCATAACTGCGGGGAAACTCAACATCTGTAGCTCTGGGTTCCACGTTACTCCGGCTGACTTCATAATTGTCGGTGCGTAGTTCAGCACGGCCAGGTTGCCGCTATTCGATCTTATTGTCATCAATATTATGTTCAGCATGCATCCACGCAACCATGCTTTGTTTTGATCTGTAAATTAAAGGTTAAGGAATCATTACAAATTTATTCGGACTAGTGTAATTGTGTCTATTATTCGTAATAGTGTAATTTATTCGGAGTAGTGTAATTGGTTTTTTGTACCGTTCTATTCGTATAAATAAATGAATAAATAAATAGTTTGATGGCCTCATATTTACATAAATCACGATAGTGTGAAATGCTGTTTTATTTTGTCGGTCTGTATGGTCTTTATTTTTAAATACTGTTCTACATATATTTTGTTACTACATTAGATTATATAAAATATGTACATACCTACAATTCAATTTTTCAATTTGTATTACAAATCAACGTAGATAGTCTGTAAACTGTTTATTTACGTCTACTTATACTAAATAGTTTCTTATTTAAAAATGGTTTTAAGTAGACGTAAATAAACAGTGTCGTTAAAATTAAAGTGCTTAGAAAATTGTGACTTAATAACTGGTAAAACAGTTCAAGTTTATCCTAATACGACGCGTTAACTTCTACTTATGTAGTACATTTAAGATTTACTAAGAGAATTTCATAAATCTTGACAGGCGAAACGTCTTGTGAAAGCTGTTTAACAAGTGTTTAAAATGTTAAACTACATTTTGAGAAGTTGATGGACTCATAGCAGTCACGTTAGATGCTTTAAGTAATGTCTAACAACTATTTATTTTTTATTCATAAAAGCAAATTGGTATTTTAAATCACTTGACAATTTGTGTTTTTGTGAAATCTAGTTTTGATTAAAAATATGGACGTTTTAAAATACGATTTAGTTTGTTAAGTATTTTTTATAATGATATAGTTATTATTTCTTTGTCTTTAGCATTAAAACATTGAAGTGACATTAATTTTATTCAAATAAACATAAACTAAGTTACATATTTATACCTATTTATTAACTGCAGAACGCAAATTAGTACGACCATAATCAAAATACATCGCATTTAACAAAATTAATAACCATAAGTGTAAGATTTATAAGATTTTAGACACATACATAGATACAATATCAATTCACTATTATTGATGAGCTATCGTCGTATCAACTATGGCTTCAGCTTTATCCTGATCAAAATATTTCATCTCCGACAAATATTAAAAAGGACAGAGGAAACAAACTTGTTACTTACATATACTTTTGAAAGAAATCTTCGGCAGTGAGTTATAAGTGAGTTCTTCATTTTTCATGAAGTCAATTTCTGTCTGTATTCTTTTGTCATTGACATCTAATCGTCTCAGAAACGCTATTGTTTTGGCAGCTTCCTGTAATATCAAACATAGAATTTTTTCTATAACACGACAAAGGAAAATTCATATGTAAATCTCGAATGATATTACTAAGTACAAGTCACAGCTGCTCGCTTCTCTAGGAAGACAAACATCTTTTATTGTTATGAGAATGTTAAAAATAAAATGAATTTATTGGAATATGCTCGGTACGAACTGCGAGCCTGAAATGGAATTTGCTAGAAAGAATTCTACGTCGGAATACCGTGGACCTTATCTACGCTATGGTAGACGTTTTTCTTTATATATTTTGAAATTATGCTTCTAACAGGAAACATGTTCACATTCCTACTCTTGTAGTTGGTCTCTCAGGGGAAAATTCAGTATTTCGGAACACGGTTTTGGTTCACCTTATATCAATTATGCACATCTCATACAGATCTTAAGCGCAAACGGACCGGTGTAGAACCTTTTTTCTTTAAATTTTGGATTAGATATCTTTGTTTTTTTTTTGTGAAAAGATAATGCAATATGATATACATTAAATTCCAACACATTTTACATTAAAAACAATTTGGTTCATGCTCATGTTTTGTTTATGTTTTTCACTTTTTAGTTATTGAGGTCAAAAAAATTTCATTTGGTTGGGGATGGATACCTATCTATTTTTGCTATTTCAATAGTCATCCGTGCATAGAAGAGCACGTAGCTGTCGATGTCGGCTAACATTCCAGTGACATTCATTTTGGGAAATCACACGGATATTGTGTGGATTTGGTTGTGAATTCACGTTTTTTGTCAATAACCTGTAGTGATCCGTAGAAATAATGGTGCAACCAGTTCAAATTTTAAATAAGATAATATTATCTGCTCTATTAGTATAAAAAATCTGACTAAATGTACTCAAAATATTATCTAGACGCCTAGTCTTGTTAGTTTAAAACCACATATTTCAACAACTTATTATAAAGGATCATATTAAGTATTTATTGTTTCGTTACTTTCGTCAAACCCAGATATGTTTTTGCGTTATTAATGGATTAGTAAATTGCCCCATTACCGTAGCTTTGTGAACGAATATATCACTTGGGCGTAATGAACTCGTGTTAACGGTCTGAGAGAGAATTGTTGCGTGGACTTCGTACGTAATTGGAGTATATAAATATGTCAGGAGAAAAGAAAAATCAACTAGAAATGAGACAAAGAATAAGTCAAATGTTTTCTCAGGAAATTGAGGTGCCTTGAAACGGCAGAATGAGTCCGAATCAGCTATGGAAGGTATCGTTGACTTTGAAGACCTTATTCTGTAAGCAGTAATGACGAATCTTGAACTATTAATTGCTAAGATACTTACATCATTTTTCCCCCTTTTCACTAAGAAGGCTGGTGACTCAGGTGCTTTTACCATCAATATCATAGTTAACACGGGCACCCAAACGATGATCCATAATATAGTGTAGTAATTCAAGTACGCTCCCATCGCAAACATTGCCATAGTACCAATATTTTGGAAGAGTATTATGAAGGATCCTAGCACCCCTCTTATGTCATCCTGGCTTATTTCCCTGACGTACATTGGTACTACGTTGTAACAACCTCCGGCACCGAGTCCAGCAAGGAGTCTGGCTGTGATTAAAACTACTATATGTGCTGAAGATAGTTTTAATATCCATGAAAGCTGAAAACCAGAAACCACCGTCAAAAACAATTTTAGCCACAAACAAATTAATTTAAATTAATTTCACGAGACACTTTCACAATGCTTAGAAACAGCATGCACCATTTACTAATAGACATGCTTGAAAAGTATGACACTATGATTAACTTCTATGCGTGATTTCCTGATAAAAAATTGTATCCCCCTTTATAACTTATACTACCAACAAAGAAATTTTGATTCTGTCGTCAAAATATTAATAAAAATAGTATCTTTATGTTCTTTTCAATATATAGCTGGACAGATAGGTACCTAAATTATAATTGTATTTTGATCAAACAAATTCTTACCGCTTGAAACGCAGCTATCAGTAGAACTGCAACTCTTCTTCCATATTTATCGACGATGTATGTGAATAAAGAGACACCAAATACGGCTGCTAAGCAGATGGCACTGGCTATCCACGATATTTCATAATCTGACAACGGGTAACCAGAAGGGGAGTTCTCTGATTGTAAAACTTTTGTCATCGGTGACACCCATCCCGCTTGAAATCCATATGTGAGGATTGTGGTATTCGCTACAAATGACAAATGAAATATAGTAGGTGCAGTAGGTGTTTACGTGATTATTTTTATGGAATATGGGTCGAACGAACAGACTTGTTATTATATGGTATGCATATTAGTATAAAATCATGTATTATAAACGTTAAGTACCATCGATTTATATTACAATCGAATGAAACAAAAATAAAAAATAAAACCTAACCAAGTACAATAATGGTCATTTCTAGTCCTCGCCGCTTTTTGAACGAGATGCAGTAGTACCTAGCGCATTAATTAGTCATACAACAAAACAATACAAGTGCCAAGCTTACTAATTATAGGAGTAATGAGATATCCTTTGTTCGCCAAAGTGATCCGTGAAATGTATAGGGGAGCTACCGACAAAGGATCACCATGATGTCGGTACATTTCACGTAAAGCGTATAATTAAAATTGTGACTTAGTTCGTTCTTTTAAAGTAGAAATTTTAATGTCATTGTGTTTACAATTCGTTTGAGGCACTGTCAAAATCACGAGTCATAATTTGAATGCTAAAGTATTTGTGACAATTTAATACTCAACTTGCTGAATCATTTCTGATTACGTATACGTACCGTGTGTTTAATTTACTTAACAAAATGTGGATGTCAAATATATTATATTTTAGTTATGAAATCATAAAATACCTATTACCTAAAAAAAATATTAAAAAGTTTTCAACTAAGCTTAAGAATTAATGCAATTATAAATATTCCCTTTTTGGGACACTATTACAGTCATAGTCCATTTAAATTATCATTAAAGAACCATTTTCTCCCGAACATAGGCCTCCTCAAATGACATCGTCAAATACTAAAACAACGGCTCAAAACTACAAATAAAAATTATTATATTTAGTTTAAATAAATAAAACATTAAAATTATACACCAAAGAAAAAATAAATAACATCAAAACAGATAGTACACTACACAAAAAAATAAACCAATATTTTACCTACAATAGCCACCAACACTTGGACATAAGTCTTCCCTTTTTTAGGCACATTATCCACATTTTCCGCTTCTATCACATTTAATGTCATTGTTAGAGAATTTCTCACGTAACTGCGTGTAATATTAAGAAACAATCCGATACTACTGTTTGCCCAACATATACAACATATACTAAAGATGTAGGAAGATAACAGTATATTTTTATACCGCTTGTCAGTCAGGGCTGCCTCAAGATGTTGATATCAAAATAATATTAATAACTCGTTTTGTGTTGTACCTGTAACCGGTAATAGATACGAGGCTGTCATTATTATATCTGTGTGTTGTTAGTAAACAGTCTTAATGTGAATGGAAATAAAAAACTAATCAATAAACAAATGACTGCCAATGAATAAAATCCATGCTTTTAAAAGAAAATTAATTTTGAAATTAGAATTTTTAGCCAAACAAAGTAATATTTTGGTTTGAAATGGCCAGTACGAACGGCAATTTTTTGGTAAAGACCTAAATACCTAGTAACCTATTTGCCGAATAAATCAGCAATTTAAAAAAAAATGACATAAGATCCACACAAAATGTGTAAAAATGTAGTCTCTGTAAATCACTTCAATTTATCCATAGATAAGTTATAAAGACTGGCCATCTGAACAGAGAAAATAATACTTTTTAATAGAAGCAAACCTGAAACACTAAGTCACGTGTGTGGCACAGTCCATTCAACATTAATATTAACGGAAAGAAAATAATATTATTTACGTAATAATATGATTTAATAACGGAGTATATTATAAACACATAAAAGTATTCAAGAATACTTATCTACGTTTAATAAAATAAAATTGGAGTGTCTGTTTCTAATATTAAAAATAACCGCTTTTTACTACATGCATATGAATTATATACGATACCATACTAAAATAGTATTTTTTACAATATCTGTCTGTCTGTTTGTACTGGCTAATCTTTGGAATGTTTGGACCGATTTTGCAAAACTTGTATTAGCAGGTAGCTGATGTACTAAGGAGTAACATAGGCTACTTTTATTTTGGAAAATTGAAACCAAAACAAATTATGTTCTAAAATTCATATTCTACGCGAACCAAGTCGGGGGAAAGCCAGTACAAATATGCAATACAACGTACACTTTTCAGTTACGTAACGAGGTCCATATAAAGAGTGCGTATGTATATAAATACAGGGCTCATTTCCAAACTCCGTGTTGTTACTGGGAAATTAAAAAAAAATTCCAATATTACTTTACCCACCACAACTACTAAGCACTCGATTAACAAGGCAGACGTATAAACATTGTATTAGTTACTGTTATACATTTACAATTAAAATAGAATTGAATGAAAAACATGAGCAATTTAAATATATTCAATGAACGGTTGAAATTACACAACCCTAGAACATGAACCAATTAATGTCGATGCGAGTGTTTCCATGCCAATCTAAATGTATAATGAACAAGCCAGACAAAAATGTACCTTAGGTAATCGGATATAAAAATGATTTTGCAAAACGCAAAAAAAGAAATATTATGATATTGTAAAGTCGGAATTTTGTATAAAAATATACTTTTTCTTATGGTATTATTATTTGTTATGATATTGCAACATACCTACGTAATGAAGCATCATCTTTCATCAGTCATTTGTCCAACTCCATTAGATAGTAAATAAAACTGACCTAATAATTTAACAAATCTATCGCCGATACCACGGCCTCACAGAAAACCGACGTGAAACTACGCTTGCGTCCGCAATCCCTGTATTCCCAACAATTCTCAAATTCCACACACACTTGTAACGGCTCTGATGTTCCAGGTGTCCATTGGCGACGCTGATTGCTTACCATCAGGTGATCTGTCTGCTCGTTTACTGGCTTATCCTATAAAAAAAACAATCCCAGCTTCATCGATATTACTGATTATTAATGTTCAGACCCGAGGATTGAAATCAAAATTTTATTTTTAGCTTTTCTGCTCATTAGTTTACTTATTTAACCAAAGTAATCGGTTTACCCACGTGAATATACAGACGTCTGTAGGCTGCGAAACGATGCCGCTGTCCGCGTCCGCGCACGCTTTTCATGAGAAGTTGCCTCTTTGTGACTCGAAACTAGTAGAACTTTTCTCAGTATATTTACGCGAGCTAATCGATAATTTGAGGTTTAGTATATCTTACGATAGTTATTATCCAAATTTTATATTGTCATTAACGTAACTGTCTCATGCAGTATGGGACGACATTGGACACAGTGTGCTTATTAATTGAATGTTATAGTTAGACCAACTATTTCATAATAACTATTTTATAATTACTTCTTTTTTTCAATCAACCACAACAATCTTGCTCTAGAAATTTCATTTTATTTACTAAAGTGACGTGGAAAATGACGAAGCCTTTTGATATTTTTAATTATGTTTTCGAGAGCTGAGGAAATTGTTAAGTAATTGTCAGCAAAAACATTGAATAGAGGACTATTACTTGACTGCTTATGCAGCAGTAAAACATAGGGTTGTTCTTGTTAACAGCCAGTTAATACTAACCTTTTTTATGCGATACAAAAGATAAAAAAAGAATATTCATTCCAACTCTTTGGAAATTGGACAGATCGGGCGGATAGGATTTTTGTGATTAGTGTCAAGACAACTTCTTATCTTTGAGTATCTTCTTACTATAGTATATAATATTACTAGCTTCTGCTCGCGACTTCGTACGCGCAATCCCATATTGCCCCCGTTCCCGTTCGTGATTTTCAGTAAAAAGTAAAAAAAAAGTATTGTATAAAAAGTATCCTATGTCCGTCTAATTCAGTCAATTTTCATCTAAATCAATTGAGGCTTTCTTGAGTTATAAATAGTGTAACTAACACGACTTTCTTTTATATATATATATAGATTAAATTAAATGTGAAAGTGTGTAAGTTTGTTTGGTAGGTACTCTTTTACGTCAAAACGGCTGGACGGACTGGAATATCACATAGGCTTCTCATCCCATGGGTTGGTAAAGTCAGAGATGTTTAACCACAATGCACTTTTTGTCGTCATTGTGTTTTATTTTTAGATAGTTTGTTTTATATCAGAGGCATCACGAGTTAAATAAAAAAAATATTAAAGAGAGACTATGGAACGCCAAATGCAACGATTTGTATATAGCTCTTTTGCTTCCTCAACAGTCATTGTAAGTAGGTATATTTTAACGCACATTTTTCAGTGTACATATTTCATAGATAACACATTGACGTCATTAGGTATGTATTTAAACCTTAAATTCAAATAAACCAAATCATAACATAGCATCACGCCTTTTATCTCCGAAAGGGTAGGCAGAGGTGCACATTATGCCACAGTACAATGTAACACCCACTTTTCACTATTAATGTTATGAGTCCCATGTAATAGGGGGTGAGCCTATTGCCATATACCGGGCACAATTCCAGACTCCATGCTACTACTGAAATTTTTTTTAAAAACCCAGTAATACTTTGCCCGATCCGGGAATCGAACCTGAGACCCCTTGCCTCTTGCGACTTGTTGCGACCACTCGGCCAACCTAGACAAACAAAAATAAACCAAATCTTGACAAATAAAGTCAGGAAGCCAGCAAGAAAGAAGTCACTCTAATTAATATTTGTAATATATATAAAGATGGATGCGTAACCGTTGATATGACAAACCCTTACCTCATCCCTCAAAATGTAAATGTAATTTACTTGTGTACACGTTCCATAACACTGTCATTCTTGAGACGTCTCAGGTAGTCTAAATACTGCCTTAAGTTCCTTAAATACCAAGGTAACCTTAAATACCTCAAGAAAGGCAGGCCTCAGGCCACATGGTACTTAGACACCATCTGGAACTGACTCCAACCGTTACAATACACCTACACTAATATTTTTAAACGCAAAGTTATAATTATCATTCAAAAGAAGTAAAAGACAAAGTATTAGAAGTAGTTAAAAAATCTGTCGACTCATCAAAAATCGTCTAATAAATTTAAATTAATCAAAAAGTTTACTTTCCAAGGAAGTTAAAACCAACTTTGATGGGTGTTAAAGTAATTTAAAATCCCTTTCACTTGATGAGGATAATGACAGTTAATTATCTTAAGGGTAGAAGTGGTACGTTTTAATGACGGATCTTTGAAATTTTGAGTCTAGTGGTGTGCGTTAGATATCTTTGCTTGATATTAAATAAGTAATTTTATGAGCTACTAGCTTCTGCCCGCGACTTCGTACGCGCAATCCCGATATTTCCCGTTCCCGTTCTAGATTTTTGGTAAAAAGTAAAAAAAAAGAATTGGGTAAAAAGTATCCTATATCCGTCTCCTGGTTCTAAGCCACCTCCCCACTAATTTTCATCCAAATCGATTTAGCCATTCTTGAGTTATAAATAGTGTAACTAACTAACACGACTTTCTTTTATATATATGTATAAATATTTCACCAGGCTCTATGGTAGCGTAACCAGTCGCCGTTACCGACAGAATGTATATTTGTATAAGCTGGTTGCGCTACCAAGTGGACACTAGGTGAGTAGTAGCTAGTTCTATAGAGAGGACTCTCCATAGATCACACATTATATTGGTAGGGGCAAGTGGTTGCGCTATCATAGTGTCCCTGTTTACCTGTTACCGTTACCGATTTAAAAAAAATTTAGAAATAGCTTTTAGCCGATGTTCAAAAAACCTACTAGAGATTTACTCTGATTCGAGGAAAAACGAAGTTTCGTCTGAAACTTCGGTTTACCTAGGAGATTACGTACAGATTATCTACCACAATGACATTTCTTACGAACGAAAAAGGAATGAAACAAGCCATAAATGAGTATGAGATGTATTTGACGTCTAAATTTTCGGAACCTCTAATTGAATTGCACAATTCGCACGAACAAAAATTCAAGTTTGACAGACTATTCTTCGGACGTTTAATATCATTTAGACGAAACCAAAATAGTTATCGTTTAATTTTCTTTTGGGTTAATTTTAATTGAAAAATGAATGAAAGAAATTTCAAGTCTTCGTTTTATCATGGTTTCTTCGTGTGAACAACACGTAGGGCACCAAAGCAACCACCTAAATGACGATATAAAATCAATGTACAGTCAGCTCAAATAGTTATTAACACGAACCTATACATTTTAAATGTCTATGACAGTTAGTAACATTTAGGGTGATCAAATACTTATTTGAATACCTAATGTATTATACATAAATGTTTCATGTGAAATGTTTTATTTTAAAACTAATACAATACTTAAGTTTATTTTTTTACCTCTAGAAAAATAAACTTTAGTATTGCTAGTATACATTTTTGCTATTCTTTCACATCTATTAATATTAATATCAATATTTGTAGATAATACAAATAAATTTAGTTGTCATTATTTTATAAATAAATGTCAATAAATGACAATGCCAACATTCTAAAACTTTTTAACTTAGTTGTATAATACGACTATATAATTTTTGAAAGGAGGTTCTTATCGTGTTTAGGATTTTCCATCTTAAACATTAATATTAAACGCTTATTCATGATTTCCTTGATGAATATAATATGTGCTAAGCCATTATGAATTTAGTAATATAATTACCAAAAATAATTTTTATATTTAATTTCGAATCTAAACCTACGTATTGCCTATTTATTCATCTTCACTTCATTGTAGTTCATGAAAGTTGTCTATGGTTCCGAAAACGTTGTTTACGGCCGCAAATCAAACGAAACTTCGCATTCTAGAACCGGACCTCCAGGAATACTTTGCCCGACCCGGGAATCGAACCCGATACCCCATGCCCGGTTTGCTGAATACGGTATAAATATTCAGAGGTCAAAATACAAATTCTACGACCTAGAACATGGAACCCATGACCTAGCTCAGCTTCCAACAGCTGCTCAAAGATAAATATTTCACAACAGTTTGCCAATTATTATATAAATAAACTGTAGATAGTAGATATCACGTTATCTCATTGTTGAATTTATCAGTATGCATCAAACATCACTATCACTAGATATTAGACTACGATTCAGTTATAAGCGGAAGCGACCTTTTATCCCCAAAGAGGTAGGCATAGGTACACATTACGACACTTAATGTCACTGTACAATGTTACACCCACTTTTCACTATTCGGGGTGAGTGGGCCTGTTGTCATATACCTACCGAGCCAAATCCCAGACTCCGTGCTACTACTGATAATTTAAAAAAATAACCTAGCAATACTTTGCTCGACCCGGGGATCGAAACTGAGACTATTCAAGTGCTTGCACTTGTGACTACTCGACCAGCAAGGCAGTCTATTAGTTTAAATTTAATACAATTCAATAGTAGCTCTCTCATTGAAAGTTAGTGATCACGAGTTTCAAGCGGCAAAAGCAATTTGTCAGCTAAACGTTGCCATGCAGTTACTAAGAATTTCAAATATTTATTTGCTTTCAAAGACATCCATACGTCTTCAATATATATAAATCAAATTTATAATTACCACCCATTTCATTAGGAGCGGTTATTGCTTTCGCTTATCACTGCGTAACAAGATGTGACCTTGTGATGATATATAAAGAACGTACTATCATCGAAAATAACGAGTACATAAACGATAACATTTATTATCCCATCATGTCTCGTCAAAACGATTATTGACCTCAAAAACTTGATTTCTATTGCCGGGTCAGACAATGTAGGTATTGAGTTTTGCAATTTCGAGAATATCTGTAAAAGTGCAAAATCTAAAATGTACTGAACTTTTTATGGCATAGGATAAAAATACTAAGCAAGCAGATGGATCACCTGATAGAGATAGAAATTCTTTAAGGAATCAGAAATGAGAATTTGGATATTTATAATGTGTTGCTTCGAGTCTAGGTGTCATGTGTATGTGAAATAATGTATTAGTAAAAGCACCCACGATACACAATAAAATTCTGGTCTGAACCAACGTCTGTATTAAAAAAAGTATTGAGTATATTAAGAGAATGGCTGCACTTAAACTCATTCATATGATGAAAGACAAATCAGTAGAAGATATCGTCAAAATTATATTGCAATTTCTCTTTAACTACCTATTAGGTTATATACAAGACTAGACTATTACTTAGTACTTGACAAGCAATCGCTTGTAAGACCCGTCTTTGGCAATTATTAGAGCGTATGATCACCGAGACCGTTACAGTTAGATTCTGTGTTAGGTCTTGCGGAGAACCGATGTAGGTAGCTCAATTTAAACTGAAGCGTAATCCATTTATTGGTTACTTTGTATATAGTCATAGTCATTAGACCTATTATCTATTGTCTAGCGTCATCTGATGAATACATGCATTCGTCAAAAACGATAGGCGGATTTGATGTTGCCGCTTCGTAGACATTCACTGTTTCTGAGATCTGCTTTGAAAAACGACACAAGATGGACAGTAGGCCTTTTTGTTGAGATAAGTCCGCCACAACCTCCCACAACCATGAAACCACCGACACAATGAAGTCCGACGCTCGACGACGACGACGCCGAGAAAAGCTCTACTAGTTTCAAACCACAGAGAGGTTCTTCAAACTAGTAGAGCTTTTTTCAGTATATTCACGTGAGTAACCCGCGATTTTAGTTAATTTAGTATGTCTCACGATAGTTATTATAAAAAACATGAATAACTTTCTTGGATCTCGCAACGAAATAAATCAGAAGATATTGTAAGAGGAGAAGAAAAAAACGATAGTTTCCATTTCCCTCGGTGAATTACTGTAAAGTACGCCTCATCTATACGTGGTTTGTAAACTTATTTGTCAAGTCAATACTAAACTGTAAACTATCACACTGATCGACAGGTTGCTAGTGTGACTCCCGAGGTCGCAGGGTGGATACTCGGGTTAAGTATATTAGTATGAAGGCTTTTTGGTTTTTACAAAACAATTTCTTGGGTATTTAGTGGACACAACAAGTTGTAGATCACACAAAAAGTTGTTTCGTTTAGTAATCGAACTTGTGACATTACGGAGCAAAATTTAAGCAACTGTGCCAACCGTGCAATCAAAGTAAGTTATATTATTTATGTATTTCAATCGATTACGGACGACTGACCTTTGATTCCTGTAAAACCAACCACGACTTATATCAAGTTTTACAAATATAAATCTATCTGTTTAAGTAAATACTTACCGGTAATTTAAGGTCAAGCCTAACTGATCAAGTTGTCAAACACAGTTGAACTTTACTTACAACATCTTGATGCCATTAGGAAGGTAAATCAATTACAATAATTGATACCCCATCGTCCTAGGGTTGTGAAACTAAGAAGACTTTAATCGTTAAAAAAAAACGGTAATAGTTTATGATTCCTCATACCTATGAGCATTTTAAAGGGTTATAAAAAAACAAAGGTAAATTAATGACGCATTTATTTTACTAATTTACGTAACAATTCATTCTAGGATCTAATCAATTGGTTCATACACATCATCATTTAAACTAACTTATGCTTACGGATAAGGAGATTACAATATTACTTTAAAAAAATATAACGGTTTTAAACCTCATTCGTTTCATTACATCGCTTCATTGACTAATTAATTTTCTCACTTAAAACAATTTTGCACTAATAATTCTTCTTCTATTTTCACAATTGAAATTCAATATTCAATTCACAACAAAACGGTCACCGAACTTGTTTATTTTTACCTAATAGATCCATTTCTATTTGCTCGGCAGATTTACCTTTTGTCTCTGGTAAGAATATTAAGCTGACTAAAGCCCCACAGAGGTTGATACCGGCGTAACAATAAACCACAGAGTATACCCCAAGAAAGTTCGCAACGGCCGTAAACGAAGCCAACTGGAGAAAGGACATGAACCACGCGTATGTCACTAAACAACCCATTACTTTTGCGCGTATCTGAAATAAAAAGTACAATAAGTATGCAAATAATGTAAGTAATGTCCTGTCAAGACCATCTTTGGTTTGATAGTATTTATGTGCTCAGCTGTAGGAAATCTCTTCTTCTTTTCGTTGTGAAAAAGACATTATTCTTAAAAGCACATGGTCTACGTTTGCATAAATTAAATAATGTTGACTTATCTCTAATCATATGCTGCTTTTAATGAGCTGCAGAGTTATTTTAAAATCCTTCATCTTTGTGAATTTAACCTTGTAGCTGTTTCAATTTGTACCTACAAAATATTACATTACTTACTTGAAAATTAAACATTTCTGCCATTATAATGTATGGCATAGGTGAAATTCCACCAGCGTATACAAAGACGTACAACACAATAGCCAACACGGGCAGCCATCCAGGTGTAGCACCTCCTTGAGATTGGAGTAACATTGTTGTTCCCAACACTGCATGAGCCAAAATTGCTACAGCAAACGTTACGCTGATGATAGGCTGAAAAAATTGGTTACTCAGTAAAAATATGAGCCTAAAGCTAAAATTCTTAAGTAGTTTGCGGACAGAAATAGCAAATGTTTAAATTTAATTGAATGATTACATTCAATTAAATTACATAAACATTGGATCTACAATCGAAACATGAGAATAAACTCATGTTTGTACGAAGTGGATACGTATTAGTAGAATTAATATAGAAATCTCAGTAATTTGTAAAATATATGACTGTTATGCGATTTTACAGAATAGATATCCAAAAAAATACATAATTATATTTAGGGGCTTACTTTTCGTCCAAACTTTTCCACACAACTCATAGAGATAAACGAGGCAAGGATCATAACTGCGGGGAAACTCAACGTCTGTAGCTCTGGGTTCCACGTGACGCCGGCTGATTTCATAATGGCGGGCGAATACGTCAAAGTGGCAAAGTTACCGCTGTTTGTTTGAAATGTCACCAAAATCAAGATGAGGATGAAACCACGACGCCATGTCTCTTTCTTGACTGAAAAAAAGATTATTCCGGCTATAAGTTAGTATAAATTACTTCCTCATAATTAATCATTGAGTTTATAAAAATTTATCCCAAACATGTGTTCATATTAGTGGATAGTATAAACTGGAGTTATACCTACACAGTTTTAATAATAGACTGACTACCAATTAACTACATTAGAATTTAAAATATACCTGGACAAATTTAACCTGTAGTTACGCCTTTTTTTTATTTTTTTACGCCTAAAGTTTAAAAATAGAAGTAAAAAGGAAACAAATTCTAGACAAAGCCGTTCATCAAATTATTTCTGAATTATTCTGGAACCGTCTTAAGTTTAACCTAATATTCCTGCGTTATTTAAGATTAGGGAGGCTTGAGCTAATAAGTGTTTTATAAGAAAAGCAAATTTTAATAAGAAGTAAGTTTTCATATTACTTTATACCTACTAACAACCGGACCTAAACCTTTTTTATCATGGTTAGTAGTTTTATATACGACAAGGATTTAATTTAAGTGTAGCAGCTATAAAATTAACCAAATGTTAAACATTACAGAAACCAGTCAACACAAATTAGTTTCAGCTGTCCAAATGTTTGGTAAATAAATCTCGTTTTTCTCCAAATGTGACATGATACATTCAACATGCTTTAATCAGAGGTAAAATAAAGGCAACAATTCTACTCTCTCGTGCAATAGCACAAGGGAGTAGAATTCTTGAATTCTGCACTATTGTGCAGACTAAATAAAATAAGATTTCATGAAATTGCAAATGAACGTCAAGACATACGACATTTTCCACAATAGTCTTGCTATGTGTGGAACGAACTGTTATTAAAAATACAATAGAAATAAACTTTGTAACTTACATAAACTTATGAAAGAAATATTCGGCAGTGAATTATAAGTCAGCTCTTCATTTTTCATGTAGTCAATTTCGTTTTGTATAACTTTGTCGGTGACTTCTAATTTTCGGAGAAACGCTATAGTTGACGCCGCCTCCTGTAGTACAAAAAAATATTCTTAACTTATTTATCAACTTCACTTAGTCGGGCATATATTTAACACTTACCTCAATTTTTTCACGTTTTACCAAAAAGGCTGGTGACTCAGGTGCCTTTAACATCAGTAGTATAGTTAACACTGGTACCCAAACCACGATCCACAACACAGTGTAGTAATTCAGGTACGCTCCCATCGCAAACATTGCCAGTATTCCAATATTTTGAAACAGAATTATGAAGGATCCGAGCACCCCTCTTATGTCATCCTGGCTTATTTCCCTGACGTACATTGGTACTACGTTGTAACAACCGCCGGCAGAGAGCCCAGCACACAACCGAGCTGTGATTAATACTGCTATGTGTGCTGAGGATAACTTCATTATCCAACATAGCTGAAAACAATTTGTAAAAATCAAAATATACTAATAAAATAAATATAGAAGGATTTATGTGTAGTCCTTTCCTTCACTATTGCTATTTTGATAGTTTTATAACAGACAAATTTAAGGATACCGCAGTCCAACAAGGTCTTCAAACTCGTTAATATAAATGTAGTTATCCCCGGTAATACACACTAACTAACATGGATAGCTCTACACTTAATGTAGCGAATGTTCACTGAATCCAATTTTGTATCCTTGACCAATTCAGAGAAGGTATTAGTTAAGCCTAACAATTAACATAAATAAACTGATTGTTCTGGAACCGGCCTTGAACTCAAAACATTTACGTAGAAAGGATAGGATACGGAGGTGCCATTACGTCTTGTTCTATTGCCTATTGCTTGAAATCTAACTGAACGAAATATCAGTTATTTGGATGAGAAGAAACTATATAAGTAAACGTAAGTTATTAGGTTTCATTTTAACTACAAAGAAATTGTCTAAACATTATCAAAGGTGGAAAACTTCGAAATTTTTCCGTGAAAGTATTAATAATTACATAAACGAGTTAAAGAAAGCAAAATACAAAATAAAAAAAAACACTTACCGCTTGCAAGACAGCCATTATTAAAATTGCTACTTTCCTTCCATATCTGTCAACGATATATGCGAATAGAGAGACTCCAACCGTCGCCGCTATACAAAGAGAGCTTGCTATCCATGATATTTCATAGTCGGACAACGGATAACCGGCCGGCGAATCCTCTGATTGTAAAACTTTTGTCATCGGTGACACCCATCCCGCTTGAAACCCATATGTTAGGAGTGTGGTATTCGCTACAAATGAAACAGTTCCGTTATTTCCTGATAGACATTGCGCGTCGCTTTAAAATTTGTTTTTTGCTGTTTGCTGCTTGTTTGGAATGAAATTGGCCGGGACAGCGAAATACACGGCAAAGTTATGGGTTTAAATGTGATCACGTGACCGCAAAATTGCTTGGAGCTGAGTTTTATTCGTATTTTATGTGAAATGTCAGGATTCATTTTCTACATAGTTTGAATTAAAGAGTCGCCAAATTGCAGTTGTGCAAACCTTGTTTACGCTAGGTAAGCTTGTGGGGTCCATCTCTAAATAATTGACTGTTTTTAACGCTTTAGACTCAAAATTGTAAATAGATTAAATTTAACACGTACGTTTATTACAAATAATAATTTAATTATTTCAATTTAAAAATATTTAGCATTTTTAAAGTCTTTCCGATGTAAACATTACTTGAACTTATTACCTAATTTAGATGAGTCAAACTGTAAACATTAATTGAAAAGAGGCCTACATTTCTTAATAATTAAATATTTTACCTAGCATAGCCACCAACCATTGCATACACGGATTCCCCTTCTTGCCACTAACAATATTTTCTGTAGACACTGCCATTACTTCTCGATAACGTTCACCGTTCACAGTTCATATAACAAAGTGCAATGTTAAAATGACATCGAATAATACTTTGCACAACATTTTCTACAAACAAAGAAGATAGATCTTGATAACCGTATATTTATAGCAAACACCATGTAATCAGAACTGAACAAATTTGCTATGGAATTAGAAAATATAGAAAATAGAGTGCTGTGTTGAAATAACACAGGAACGTGTGAAAAAATTGCGTCTTTATTTATTTTTTTACTTTATTTATTTAAAACAGAAAGTTTGTTTGTTGACCTATGTTTTATTTTAGGCTGAAGCCTTTTCTGAACTGTATACTACTTAGCATGTGACTTACTACGTCTTGCGTATTGCCTATCATAGGCATCCTGATATTTCTTTTTAGTCTTTTCGAAAATTTTACTGAAAAGATCGATTCTAAAAATCAACTTATCCAATTAAGATTAGCATTTATACCTACCATTAAATAGATTTATTAATCCATCAATAGCCGAAAATATTTAAGATTAAAATAAGAAGATCTGCGATTCTTTATTTTTAGCTTTGCTTTATTTTTAGCTTTAGCTTAACTTTGACTGCCAATAAAAAACTGTTGAAGGTAAATCCTCCGCTAACGCCGGTCACCGGTGACTCCCATGGCGTTTAACGTGTTAAAAGTAATAAATTAATTTTGGTAAATTTGGGTGATTCTAAAACACGAGTTCGTTGATAGAAATACACGTGGTTCTTTCCTAGAACAGTTTGACCGAGTCACGGTATCGCCACTCTGGCTCGCAGAAGGTCCTAAAATACCTCGGAAATTAGTAACATGACTTTAGGAACGGTAACCGCAAGCCATCCTACACACACACGTTTAACGGCAACTATTTATCCTCATCCACACTTTAGTAAATAAGTACTTTAACATAGAATCCTTTGTAATTTTTGATCCTCGGAACTTTCATTAGGTTTCCTATGTATTTTAAATAAATTCATGTACAAAGTGACACGTGAGTATACCGTATGGTGATGAGGATATTTGTCATCACTTCTAATCTTCGTGGATGTTGTAAGTGCCAACTAAGAGGCTTCTAATTTATCAAAATCTAGACAATAGAACTCCTTGATAAACTAACTAAAGTCTGTCTTTCAAGCTTGGAAGTTAAAATACACCTTATCAGTATATGAGGCTCACAAATTTTCGGACTGTTGATAATGACAAAGTGACGATTTTAGACTTTACTCAAGAAAATTGTCTTTTAGTATTTTTAAATAGACCACATCCCTTTAATATTACCAGAAGAGCAAAGAGTCAGTCAGAAGTCAAATAATTATTCTTATAGCTTTAGTTGCTATTAAACATCATTATCTTAAGCACACAGTAATAGGTTTATAGGAGACGCAAGTGACATTTACACATTGATAAAGGTTTTATTCATATTACCTAAAGGTTTATCTACACGTGATTTGTTGTTATTTTATTATTTTTAACCGACTTCAAAAAAGGAAGAAGTTTTTGACCTGTATGTATGGACCGACTGCGTCGTTGGCCGAGTGGTCGCAAGTGCGACTGCCGGGCAAGGGGTCTAGGGTTCAATTCCAGGGTCGAGCAAAGTACTACTGGGTTTTTTAAAAAAAACTCAGTAGTAGCGCGGAGTCTGGAATTGTGCCCGGTATATGGCATATGGCATTACATGGGACTCATAAAATAAATAGTGAAAAGTGGGTGTTACTTCTATGTGCACCTCTGCGCACCCCTTCGAGGATAAACAGACCTAAAAAGAGGGGGTTAAAGTAGGTTATCACGTTGTTTATAAAAGAAGAAAAATAAAATAACTTAGTGGTCGCAGTTTTCATTCAAACGGCGAAATACAACGCAAGCGTTACTGCATACCAGTTTTCTGTGAGGTCGTGGAAGGTCGTTTCTCTGGTCAAGCCGACCCATTTGTGTGGAATCATGGCTATCCCAGATTCTTAATTTTGTCTAAATAAATAAACTCATTATTTTTAAATTTCGTGCTTATTATGTGACAAAGATTTTGATAGTTATTAAATTCTCTAGTCTACTCCTATTTGCAATACAATGTGTAACTATAGCCTAACCACTGTCAGTAGCGTATGTATTTTAGTTTCAACTTTTAATACCCATGTTTATTTATTCTGTCAAACTATTTCTGGTTTGTTAGTTCAAAACAAATTGACATTTCACAATAAAAGTGATTTAAATAACTGTTTGATATTTGTCCGTAAAACAAATTTAATGTTACTTAGTCGGAAATCAGACATGTTTGTGTTTGAGAGACGCCAACAGTAATTATTTGCACTTAGTTAAATAGAAATTGAGTAACATAGCTACAACATTATGAAAGTTTCGTTCATATTACATCGTGGATGATAATATAATAACTTTTTCGTGTGGTTTTGGTTGAGAACGCGATGATTTTTATTGCTAAGACAGGCAATGGGGTTCTTCAAGAGGGGAGTGAATAGATTTCTTAACGGTCGGCAACACGCATGTCATGCCCCAATGTTGCAGGCGTACATAGGCTACGGTAACCGCTTACCATCAGTTGAAACGTGTGCTTTTTTGTCAGCGTCGTGGTTTAAAAAAGAAAAATGATGACTGACCCTATTTTTCCATGTAAATTTTCAGTGACATCAGAGCCAACAATTACACAATCAAAGTAAAGAATTATTACGTAAAACCACATATCATATACCTATGTGTGTGAAACTATTACATTTTAGAAACCAATATTTCATTTAGCCGAATTCAAATCGTTGTTAGTTTGAGAACAATATCGAGGTCGTGTCCCCGTTGTTAAAATAGACACGAAATGGAGATCTTTTATTAAAAATTCGTGTCACTGTCAAAATGCTTCAAACGTTACGTACCTAATAGAAATACTAGATCATTACCAACTACTTAAGATTTTTTTTATGATAAGCTGGTAAACAAGCAGACGGATCACCTGATGGTAAGCAATCGGCTCCGCCCATGGATACCCACAACACCAGAGACGTTACAAGTGCGTTACCGGCCTTTTGGGGATTAGGAATTTCAGGACTGTTGGGGATTCAGGGATTGAGGAGATTGGGGAGGGGGTAACTGGGGCTCCGGTAACCTCACTCACACGATGAACGACAACGCTGTGGTTGTTTCACATCGGTATTCTTCTCGGCCGTGATATCACCCTATTCGTGCCAAAGCAAGACTCGCCTACACTTACACTTTATGAAGTCACTGGTTAGGTCGATGGTTACAGGCATACATGTTGAAAAGGGTGATGGAATTTGGTTATTTCAAATTTTTTAACTCCCGTTATAGGATGAAACACAAATATTTTATTTTCCAATATATTTATCTTATTTAAAACTACAAATCTATATACCCACTCCTGATTCACTTAGGCATACGTAGATTTGGTGATGTAGTAACAACTTATATGGCAAAATATATAATAATAAGATACTACGGAGATACTATTTATTCTTGGCAAAAGTACGAGTCGTTCATAATACTCAATACATTTACATTATAAATTCATACAGTTATATTATAAATTCCAATTCTTATTCTCATTAATGTTCGATTCGGTCATTATATATCAAAATGACTAACTATATGTACTACAATACCCTTATGCTGACAAAATAATATCAACAAGACTTGTACTTCCCAACATTTGAACCAACTTTGTAACAAGTTACCCTAATCACTGTCGAATAGTTAAAGCAAATACTGAAAGGTAATATGGCGCTGCGAACGATTTCTGGCTGACTAAGTTACTAAGCACTTGAAGTTCACTGATCTAACATTTCGTTGCTACTGGGAAGGCAAATCAATTACAATAATTAATATGGCTGACTTGAGAACATCGAGCTAGAAGCTGTGTATCTTTCATTTAGACTGTTAGTAGTTGGGCTAATTATTTTCTATATTATGAGTTTCTGAAGTTAATTCTCAAGTTTAACAAAATAAGCGTTAATTTTTCGGAAATAGGGTCGTGTGGTAATGGTCCAGTCACTATTTTTATTATTTCTGCGGCTGTCGAAAGAACAACTGTCTAAGAGCTCAATGTCTTTTGATAGAGACTTGACTGTAATGCCCTTTGATAAACTAATAACTACTCTTTCACTGCGAACTCCAACCTGTCTACTAACCGTGACCTTTGTCCAGCAGTGAACGTCTTCTAGCTGTTGATGGTGACGATAATGTAGAGGGCTTGTAGTTTAGCAGTGCACGATAACAGACTGTTAATTGGAAGTAGACCTAGACACACCAAAAAACTCCCAACATAATTATTGTTCATTACAGAAATTAATAATAACACATTTAATGCAATATTGCCACACATAAAATAATTTATTTCACAAATCTTATCAGGTCTCAGTTCTAGAATCAAGACCAAGTTTCTAGAGGGAAGTTCCTATACAACACGAAACTATTTCCTTATTTATGAGATTATGATAATAACTACAAACGAGGGTTGGAATATTAAATACGTGTTTTGGTGAAACCCTTTCAATACCACTTAGTTTATACGATACGATTTGAATGTTGATAGTTCGTAATAAAAAAAACAAACAGCATATCAAGTGACCCTAAATTATTTTATAGATTTGCGACCGTCCTGTTTGGGATATAAAGCTGAAATTCGGTTAAAGAATGTTTACAGGTTAGGTTATTTTGTTGTGCTTGTGTCTGCCTCGATGGGATGGCATGTACTTATAGTTCCTAATAGTTATGCAGACACGGGTTGATGAATTGATCCCAAAGGAACTGACGAAATGCCTTCCAATGTGTGCGATCGTTTTGTATCACTAATCAAAATGAATAGGCTTGATGTTCCGAAATATTACGCGATAAATAATTATTGGTTTTGTTTTGTAATCAGTAGATTAGTAATTGTAGTCTAAATTCATTATTTAAGAATACGCTATCTGTGGACAGCAGGCCTGTACTATTCCATGATTGTGTGTGATTGCGCGGGAAATTCAAATTTAAATGAAGAACAGAGAGCTTCATTTACATGTCTATAAATACACAGCAATAAAAAAGTAGATCAGTTATACAAAAAGTTTTATTCTGTTATATTTATTTAATGTTTCATGTTTCATCATTTAAACCGGTAATTGATATGTCGTGGTTTTATACTGGTTTTTTTTTCAATATAATAAAGTATTTAGAATAGTTT